TGAAGTCGGGTACAACGAAAGAGCCTTTCTAGCCACCAAATGGGCTGCCCTATTACTACGCCGACCTACAAACCGGACCGAGAAACCTCCCATCGAACCCAGCACTCCCACAATCTCCTCAAGAAGCGCCCCCACTCTATTATCCCTAGTATTCGCTTGAGCAATCTTCTGAATAAGTACCTTGGCGTCCCCCTCAAAGCGCACCTCCGTAAACCCCGAGTCCCGGCACCAGAGAATCGCTTCACGAAGAGCAAGGGCCTCAGCCACCAACGGGTCATCCATGCCTGCAAACTGAAAACCTCTGGCTACCAGAATGACCCCCAAGTGGTCCTTCACCACCATCCCCCCAGCCGAAAGAGACGCGGCCTTAGTAGCCCCATCCCACAAGCAGATTATAGGACAGTGGTGCGGAACCCCCATCTCCGGGGTACCAGGACCACTCTGGGCTTGCTCTTTCGGCAGATTAATCCACTCCTGATACTGCTGGTGGTATTGCCTCATCAACGCCGGCAGCCCAAACTGCTTCCCTTCAAACACGACCCAGTTCCTGGACCTCCAAATTCGCCAAAGGACAGCCGTAACTGCCATAACCAACTGGTCTTGATGAAGGATATTAAGCAATCTTTTCAGGAACAAGGGAAAAGTGTGACGAGGCAACCCCTGCCCGAGATATTCCAACCCAGCGTAGTCCCAGATGGCGCGGGCCACGGGGCAATCCAGGAACAAATGCTCCAAGGTCTCGGATTCCGCCCAGCAAACAGGGCAGCGGGGATGGACTTGTACACCTTTCTCAATCAGCGCTTCAGTGGTAGGAAGGAGCCGGTTAAGAATTTGCCAAAGAAAGACCCTTAGCTTCGGGGGGATGGGGGCCTGCCAAACTCGAATCCAACTAGACCTATCCATCCAACTGACCGAAGAACGGCACCGATCCTCCATCCTCTCCAACTGGCCCGCCAAATGATAAGCTGATTTCACAGTGAAAATACCATCCTGCGTGCCATGCCAGATAAGCCGATCCACAACATTGCTACGAGGGAGAGGAATCTCCTTGATGAGCCGACAGGTACGGGGATCAAACCACCGAGACAAACCCTCATCACACCAGGAACCCTCCTCCCTATCAATGACAGAAGCCACCCGCAGGACCTCATGATCCGGCAGCACACAGGGATTAAATGCAGGGACCTGAGGATGCAGGCTGGGGATCCAATTACTATCCAGAAGAGGGGCTGATTGACCATTACCAATTTGCCAGCGCAGGCCCTGGCTCAATAACTGGCGCCCAAAAAGAATACTCTGCCACCCCCAGGAGGGGCGAGACCTCGCCTGCGCCTCAAGGAAACCGCTCCTCGGAAAATACTTCCCTTTGTATACCTGAGCTAACAGCGAATCAGGTTCACTTAAGATACGCCAACAAACTTTGGCTAACAACGCCTGATTAAAATGCTCAAATCGTCGAAATCCCATCCCTCCCTCATGTTTACTGCGGCACAAATTCCGCCAAGACATCCATCTCACTTTTTCATGCCCATTCTCCACCCCCCACCAGAATCGAGCAACGTGTCTATCCAAGAGCCGGCACAGAGAGAGGGGAAGCTTGAAACAAGACATAACATGCAGGGGAAGGGCCAAGGCCACCGACTTAATTAAAGTCTCCTTCGCCGCCCAAGACAAAGTGCGCTGCTTCCAACCCTGCAAACGAGCAAGGAGCTTCTCCTCCAAATACCGAAACGTCTCCATTTTGGACCGGGCTATAAGGGTAGGTAGTCCCAAGTACTTATCATGGACACCAATAGCCCCCACCCCCAGAACCTGCCCTAAGAACTCCTGATCAGGAACAGAAATGTTCTTGCTAAAACAAACTGCCGATTTGGTCAGGTTGACCCTCTGACCACTCAGCTCCTCATATTCATTCAAGACTGTGATCAGATTCTCGCACTCCTGGAGTGAACCGCGGAGAAACAGGTAAGAGTCATCCGCAAAGAACAAATGGGAGATTCGAGGAGCCCGCGGCGCCACTTTAACTACTTGCAGTTTTTTTTCAGTTACAGCTTTCCTCAAGAGGGCAGCAAACCCCTCCGTGCATAATACAAACAAAAGGGGAGAAAGGGGGTCGCCTTGCCGAAGGCCGCGGGATGGTGAGAAGTAACCCTTCGGGGTCCCATTCATCATAACAGAGAATGAAGTCGATTTTAGACACTCGTGGACCCAATCGCACCAAACAGAACTAAAGCCCATCTTAGCCATTACTGCGAGTAGAAAGGGCCATTCAACTAATTAACTGTTTCTCTCTGCTTATTTGGCTCTTTCTTTTCTGACTCCTCATTAATTAATTAGCCAGGTCAAGCAAGCACTCTCTAGCTGGGTTCATGGTATTGTGTATTGGATAATACCATTGGATTGGTGGATTTATGAAGTGGATTGATGAATTAATGAATTTAAATGATATTTAAATACTGGATTATATGAAAATTTTGAAATTTTAGGTATTAAAAATGATATTATAAAAATTTAGGTATCAAAATGTAGTTATTGAAGATTTTTACACATAAAATTAAAAATTTAGGTATCAAATTGTAAAATATAAAAATACATGTACTAAACTATAATTTTCAGCAAAACGTGAATCCTACAATCCGATTGATTGGATTTTATCAGTTGGATATTTTAGTTGATGAATTATATAAAAATTGCCACCTCTAATTCTTAGTATGTGGTATTGGACAATTTTGGTGAAATGATGCTATGTAAACAATGAATTAACTCAAATTCGATATATTTTACTATATCCTAACTTTTAATGGGTAAATTATAGATTCTAATTCTCTATACTCAAACCCCAATATCAATTTAATAAAAACAATTATGATTATGATTTGTAGAATTACAATGAAATACACTCAGATCACAACAGATTACATTCAACAAGCACAGATAAGTAGCAATACCACACTCCAAAAAGTAGGCTAAGCTATTTACCCAAAAAAAAAAAGTAGGCTAAGCCTTAACTTATTTGGCCACCTTATTAATTACATACCAGATTATGGAGGCAAAAGCAAAGTTTGAATTAGGGATTAGTCTGTCCCAAAAGAAATCATGGACAGCGAAGTCTGTCCTAAATATTAACTTGTGAGTTGTAACAGGAAACCTCAATGCGATTGGTGCGTTGCATTAATTATAAGATGCATCGGGTATTAAATATAAGATAATAATAACGTTTATCATCAAGCTCTTTAGTACGTGGTTTCTTTAATGTGCAAAAAGCAAACTCAATATTTTTTAAAAGAGAGTGCAACACAACACATTGCTACATTTTATCCGTAGATCGAACGTACGATAAACCTGTAAAATCAATATTTATTAATGCCTTTTTATCCGTTGATAATTAGAACCTAGAATATATAGATATTTGAGTTGGATATGGCCTATGGGACATTGTTACAATCTAATCCAGTTGTTGGTGATCAGTTCAACATTCTGTTGGTACAACAGCAACAACAGTTTCCTATAACCCCATAATTTTAATCTTTCATTTCAAACTAAAAAGCCGCTGATTAAGTATGTGACAGATAATGTTAGGAAAATTAGGTGGGATCAGGACTCAGGAGGAAGACCACATGGAGGGCACCGAAAAGAGAAGGAAAAGTGCAACTTCTCCTTCTAGCTTTTGTTGTTTTTTTTTTCTCTCTCGATCGTGTTTCTGCAGGTTGATTTTCGTCCTGAATTTTTTACCATTTCGAATCAAAGCTAACTTATTGGATTGAAATTTACACAAACCTACTATATTTTATTTTTACATGTTGATTTTTGTCCTGAATTTTTTACCATTTCGAATGAAAGCTAATTTATTGGATTGAAATTTGCACAAACCTACTATATTTTGTATTTATATTCGTTGGTGGGAATGTTGCACCACAAATGGTACCGATAGCCTAAAATTCCTTTACACCAATCGGAGCTAGAAGTTTGGTACTAGTATTTGGGATCTATCACATCAAATTTATCTATATTGGGTATTACCAAATATGCGTCTTATTTTATGGGTTTGAGATTGAATTTCAAGTGTTATTTAGTATTAGAGATTACAAGATTGTGATCGATATATACAGAAATATAAGCTAGTAAGTAGTAGCTATTTTATCCGTCTTAACTAGACTCTTTCATTCACTGCTAAGAGACCCTCAAACGCCAAAATCACCACCTAATTATGCATAGCTCATTCTCTCACCATTTGACAACCTAGACCAAACTAATTTGGTTACTTGTAGTATGTTTATGAGTTGCTTAGTAGTCCCATGTTTCAGTTTGTTGCAATTTAGTTTGTTAATATGCTCATTAGACACCACATTTTCCTAGTTTGTTATTATTATATTTGATATTTTTTCCCAATTGTTTTGCATGAGTGTTTGCCCCATTGTTTGTTTTTATATAGTTTCGGACGTGGTTTGTGGACCTGCCAGATAATCATTATTTGATTTTATATATTCGATTGGTAATTTTGAAGAAAACTAATTTGATATTTGGTATATAGTCTTTACTGAACAACACATTAGGGATTGATAAGGGATACCGAATTTATTCTGTGATTGGAATTGAACTTAGAGCACAATTTGGTATTCGAGATTTCGAATTTGGCATTGAGATACTGATACCATATCGATTTCCACCCTTAACTACATAACAATCCTTACTCCTTAGGTATAACTAATAAAAACTAAATTCTAATGTTTTATAATTATTATAAATTTTAATGGAATTTTGTGAGTGATAATGATGGAATTAAATTCAAGTGGCAATTGAAAATTAACATAAAAATAGAGTTTAAAATTTTTTCTTTGCCAACATAAAAAGAGAGTTACCTACCTGTCCAGATAGAAATGCAGACCTTCCGGCCCATGGAGCTTTGAACCCAAAAGCGGGCAGGTCGGGCCCAGCCAAGTTGGAGAGAGAGAGAGAGACTATAAAGAACCCACCACCTCTTCCCTCAACTTCCCTCGTCACTCCCAAAAATTTTATTCTCCCCCTTCCCACCAGTCCAACACACTCCAATCCTCTTACGTTACTCCATTTTTTCAATTTTTATCCTTAAAAAAAAAAAAAAAAAAAAGCAAAAGGCGGGGGAGAGGAAGCCAGGCCAGCCCACGCGACGGCAAGGACTCGAGAAAAAGGAAGAACAGAGTCGCGATTCGCGGACCCTAGACCAACAGAAGAAGCTCTGTGTCTCGAGGAAAGCAAAAGACGCATTAGTCCTCATTTTCATCTTTTCGCCATTTTCAAACTTCCTTTCTTCTTTCTCTCGTTGGTTGAGCTGCCTCTCTGCCACCGCATCGCTCACTCGCTGTTCTCTCTCGCTCTGTCTGCGTGCCTTTTCCTGGCCTCGGCTCTCTCAGGTACGGTCTCTCTCCATTGGTTTTCTCGCATTCTCTCGTTCTCCGCGTCGTTTGATCTCTTAGCTGGTTTCTTGTTTGGATGGCGAGAAAGTTCGTTCGAGGAGAATGAGAGGCGATTGCGAGGCTTTCCGAATGCTTTCGCTGTACGGTGAATCGTTTGGGTTTTTTTTTTTTAATTCCGTCTAGTTTCGGTTTGCCGCGTCGGAGATCTGAGATTTGAAGAATTCGATTTCTCGCTCCTTCTCGGTATTTCTTTCCTCCGGTTTCTCGGTAGCCAAACGCGCAGCTCATGCTGTCATGCACCCAGTCGCCGCCTCTCACGTTCTGGTTGTGATTAATTGCCATGAACCTCCTCGCATGTCTCGTTTTTTGGCTGTTCTCTTTGCTGACTTTTTTCCAGAGGAGTATTTATTGCTTTTTTTTTTTTTGGTTTCGGTCGTCGTCTTTCCTCCGGATGGCAAATGCGGTGCGGAGTGATAGATCTGAGCTGTGCTTCTCCGCCGCCTGGATTATTCAATTGGAAATGGCCGGGCGGCGGTGCTGTATTGGCCGGATGGGTTATCCTCGTCTTTGCCTCCTTCATTTAGAATGATTTCTCGTCTCTAGCTGTTTTTGGCGAATCTTCTGATGGAAGATGAAATTTGTTGCTCTGATTCCGGGCAACCGGAAAGCATAGAAGGTGGAAGAAAAACGTTTCGGTCAATTCTCCTAGAGTAAAACCTGCCATGATTTATGGTTGCCTGTTTTTTGGAGGCGGCTTGGCTTCAGCTAGAAGTAACCAAACTAGCTCTGTTCTTTCGCCCAGCTCATTTCTTCAATAGATATAGATGTCAGAATTCATAAACCACTGGAGATTCTAAACTCCTCACTCTCACGTTTTGCAGAAACTTGTTGCTGTTAGGAGTGGTTTGCTTGCTTCTCTGAATTGGGATTGAGCTCGGTGTCGAGCAACTGCTGATTGGTTTTGATCCTGGGATATCGCCATGGTTGCTTCTGCTGCAGCTGCTGCTTCTTCATTGTTTCCGGTTCCTTCCCCATCTGGGGATGCCAAGTCCGACAAGCTCGGGCGTGGGTCAGCCAGTTTGGCTGGGATTAAATCAAAATCTGCTAGTTCTGGGGCATTGCAAGTGAAGGCAAATACCCATGCTCCTCCCAAGATCAATGGAACCTCAGTAGGTTATGCAACACCTGCTGAAGTGGTGAAGCACGAGGTTGAGGGTCCTTCACAACCACCACCAAGGACTTTTATCAACACGTTGCCTGATTGGAGTGTGCTCCTTGCTGCTATCACAACCATCTTTTTGGCTGCTGAGAAGCAATGGACGATGCTTGATTGGAAGACCAAGCGGCCTGATATGCTCATCGACCCTTTTGGCCTAGGCAGAATTGTTCAGGACGGGTTCGTGTTTAGACAGAATTTCTCTATCAGGTCCTATGAGATTGGGGCCGATCGTTCAGCTTCTATAGAAACGTTAATGAATCATTTACAGGTATGTGGAAGTGTCTGAACTGTCTGATCTGACTGAGAAAGTTTCTTAGGTTAGTGTATGATGGATTTGGGTTCTTTATTTACAGGAAACAGCCCTCAACCATGTAAAAACTGCTGGCTTACTTGGTGATGGATTTGGTTCTACCCCCGAGATGAGTAAACGGAACCTGATATGGGTTGTCACCCGGATGCAAGTTCTGGTAGATCGCTATCCTACATGGTAAGCTAAACAATTTGCTTAGTTAACCTTGTTTACCGCTTTGCACTTGGCTTACTGTTAGTTTTGAAAATTATATGCTGTCATTCATCATGTCACATCAGCTGTTCTGACCCTTTTACGTTGAGCATGATCTGGGGTATTATACTTTTGCAGATAGTTACTTTATAACGTAAATAGCTAGTAGATAACCTCACTGTTGGTTCTCGTGTTCTCGTCGTCTTAGTTTGCCAATGACCATAGACCATTTGTTGTTCTATTTTAAAGCTCTGGGACCCTTTGATTCTTCATACCTGAGTTCAAACCGGCACTTGTAGGTTGAGGGTTTCCTTGTTTTGTCTTTTCTTTCCTAATTGGAGCACTTTCTTCTCTCCGTTTGTTAACTGTTTCCTCTCCCGGATGGGTGCTTTTTGCTTGATCCTTTATTGCTTGTACTCGTGAAGATGGATAGAAGTTGACAGCTCACTGCCCTGACTAGCTTGCTCAGCACCAATAATGGTTGTTCCCAATAGCTGTCCCGGTGGCAATGAATGTTAGAACTCGTAGACATTCACTGCATCCTAGAAACCGAAAGATGCTCTCTTTACCACTGCTGCCATTTTTTATTGAGTGGAAATTTTGTCTGGGATTGGGGTTGAATTTGTTCGTCTTTGCAGGGGTGATGTGGTTCAGGTGGACACGTGGGTAACTGGGTCAGGTAAAAACGGCATGCGTCGTGATTGGCTTATTCGCGACTGTAGAACTGGTGAAACCCTGACGAGAGCGTCCAGGTGAACTTTCTGATACTTCGCAAGAAACCCCAATTTCCTCATCTGGTTTGAACCATCAGCTTCCTATCTAAAGCTTTTTGCTTGCCAAAATTTGCAGCGTCTGGGTGATGATGAATAAACTGACACGGAGACTGTCCAAGATTCCTGAAGAGGTTCGATCGGAGATAGAACCCTACTTTCTCAACTCCGACCCTGTTGTCCCTGAAGACAGCAGGAAGCTGCTAAAACTCGACGACGACTCCGCGGATCACATCCGCAAAGGATTAACTGTATGAGCCCTTCAGAAACTGATCCAATTACCACCTCTCGGTACTAAATAGTCTAGCCATTGTAGCTAACGAATTTTTCTCGGGTTTTTTTCTTTCTTCAGCCTAGGTGGAATGACCTGGATGTCAATCAGCATGTCAACAATGTGAAGTACATCAATTGGATACTTGAGGTTTGCTTTCATCTCAACCTCTCTTATCGATTCTGGGTTAACTTAATCTAAAATCGCCGCCTGGTTTGGTCGTGTTCTTTTGCAGAGTGCTCCACTGGCAATTCTGGAGAGCCACGAGCTCTCGTCCATGACTCTGGAGTACCGGAGGGAGTGCGGGAAGGACAGCGTCCTTCAGTCCCTCACAGCCGTCTCCGGCAACGGGATAGGCACCATGGGGAGCGCCGGCGGCATCGAGTGCCGGCACTTGCTCCGACTGGAGGAAGGCGCTGAGATTGTCAGGGGAAGGACCGAGTGGAGGCCTAAAAGCAGCAACAACTTCGGCGGTGGCTTTCCAGGCCAGATTCCTGCCGGAAACGCCTAGAAAGAGAGGGAGAGAGATAGCTCCCTCAGGCCTCATTCATGCCAATAGGTTTGATCATTGCCGGCGCGACACGTGGCACCTTCCGCCACCTGCCACCTAGCACCACCAGCTGTAGAATCCCCTCCTCTTCCCTCCTCCCTCCACTCTTCGAGTCAGTCAAATATGTTTCATCCCTTCTTTACCTCTCTCTCTCTCTATATAACTTATATATATTCGTTTGGGTTAAAAATGTCAAAAGTAAAAAGAAAAAAAGTTACTAGAGAACCACTGTAATTAAAAAGCTCTCTTGTGGCGCGAAACTCAGTTTTTTGTCCGGTGAAGTTGGTTCTCTATGAAAGGGTGGTGTGCTGCTCTCTCTGCTTCAGGAGGAATTAGGTAGAAGATTGCAAAACGACACCGCTTCGTGTTCTCGTGTTTCTCTCTAGTCGGGGAACACGTGTATATTTTCTTGTCTGGCATTTTTTTCTGTTTTTTTCCTAATTTCTTTCGGGCTTATTATTATTATTTAATTCCATTATATTATTAATTAATTTGTTTCGGAAATGGTTGTTCTGGATAAGAAATGAAAGGACAGGAAAAAATTGTAGCTCAATCACAGGCTGTTAGAAGGGTCTAGCTCTTGTGTATTTCTTTGTTTTTGGCCGAATTTGATTGTCGCTTTCTATAATAGTTGGTTGGTTGTTTGATTTCCTTTTCCCTTATGCGGTGGGTTATATTTATACATGATCCAGCACATGATGAGCTAAAACTAGTATTGCATTTTTCTGGGGGAGGTTTCCAGTCCATGTGAGAGCAATAATGCTGGATTGTAATGTGTTGTTGGTAGGTATTATGTGATTGCTACATCAATGATATGGGTACTAGTATAAGTTGTTGGAGGTTGGCAGAAGCTGGCTTTCGAGAGATTCCCGCTTCTTAATGCCTTGATTTGAGAGTTTGTGGGAATTGGAGGGGTGGTTTTTGAAACTTGGTATTCTGGTTAGCTGAGAGGTTTTTAGGATCCATCTCATTAACGGATGATGATGGTATGTTGGCTTCAGGTGTTAGTGATGGTAAAACTTACAGGTGAATCGTAACGACACTCTACCGGTTTTTTTTCATGCCACGCGTAGCTATGAGTGCAATATTGTTTTTCTCGGACATTTTGTTGTATGATAGGCGACTTGATTAATTGGTTATTTGTTAGGATTAGTTGGTTATTTGATTTAGGGTTTCGGTCAAAGTGGAGTTGTTATGCAAAGTGATGACAAGACCTTCTCCCGTTGGTTCGAGCTTATCCAACCTCGAGGTTCTCTTCCCTGTATGTTTGGAGTGCCTATCACGTTGGAGGACAGGGGGAAGATAATCTTAATTGATAAGTTTATATGTTTTTTATAACTTTGTAACGCAGTTAGACGAAATCAATCATAACATGTGCATTGGATTGGACTAAACCAAATAAAAACTGTATCATGTAGTTTGGAAAGTATTTTTCTTTTTAGTTACATAAACTTTTATAGGAGTTCACAGAATTAGTTACGAAACAAAATTAATAAACCGGATGTAAATCACACTTCAACCGTGTTGAATCTCCATTTTATAATTACACTGTAGTATAGCCTTTAAAGGTTGGACATACCAGTTGTTGAAGTAATGAGGGGATTGAGGAGGACCCCATAGTTTTTTGTTTATTGACTTGGACATGACATGTTAGTACTTGGATAAGTTAACCAATTCATGGGATGCAATTATTGGTCTCCTCTCCTGTAGTCCTGTTCCTGTTTTCACTTGTACAGAAACTTAGACAAGGATGCATAGCATTGCAAGAATAGATGGATATTAAATATTAGTAGTATCTTACTTAGTTAAGACTTCTAAGACAATCGTAGATTATATCTGCATGATATTTTATTACTCATATTTATCTACATTAATCTATCAATAGATTCGTGATTATTTTTACTCGTAAGTACGCTTTTAAAAGAAACAAAGATATAATTGTCGTAAATTATTAATTTCTTTATTCATGAGTATTAGTAAGCTTCTTGTGTTTTGGTTATGTTTGCTAGTACAATTTGCACTGAACTGTATTATGCATTATGATATATTTGGATGCTTAGGTTTAAAAACTTTTGGACAAAAATTTCCAACGATTGGCGTTCCGATTCACCATTATATGAACTTATATTTAGGGTTAAAGACACATTTGGTCACTGAGATTACAAAATCGGGACATGTTTAGTCACTAGAAAAAGTTAATATCAAATTTGGTCACTACAATTACTAAAACTGGACGCATTTAGTCACTCGCCGTTAGTCTCCGTCCAACTCCGTTAATGAAGTCCGTTAAGTGCTGATGTGGCAAACAGAATTGCCTAATCAGCCGGATATAACCCAACAAAAATAAAACCCGACCCGCCACGTCATTATAACCCGCCACCTCATTAAAACCAACCCAACCCAACTCATAACCCAACCCTACCCAACCCTTCTTCCTCCTTCCTCCCCAACCCAATTTAGGGTTTTCCCCATCCCATCCAAATTCGCTGAGCGGGGAGAAGATCTCTCCGCCATTAATCTTTTCCTCGTCTGTCCATTACTTTTGCAGAAATTGTCTATGCTATAGTTGCAGCACATTTAACATCCTTTTAGTTAGTTTGATGAGCATCGTTGTATATATGCTTTGATCGAATAAACTTTGCTTTGATATTGATGTATTCTTAAAATGAAGATGTCAAGTTGCAGTTCTGGTAAACCTAACAAATGAGTTTACAGCTTTGTTCTTCGATATCAACTCTCAACAAACAAGCATTCGAAATTTCAAATACCTAATATGGAATTCGAAGGAAAATCACCTTACAATTCAAACAGAACCTAATTAGTAGAACAATAGAGATCTAGGTAAGGATCAGCTATCTACCGGCGATTCTCAAGCGGAAGCATCGCTCGCTGATTTGGCAAAGAAACCGTCGGTCCGGCGAGTTCCAGTCGGTAGCTGCTTGTTAGCAACTTCGCGCTTACGACCTACAGAATCCTCTTTCTGCAACTGAGGAGCTGGCGGCGCGGGAAGCGAGTCTAAGAGGAAATCGTTGGTCGGTCGGTGCCTCTTGACGGAGATTCGGATGTGTTCAGTCTTTACAATCTTCCGCTTCTTCTCCGTGGCGACTTCGGCTCAGCGTGAAACTGAAGGAAAAGCTCCGTGGAGCGCGAGACGAGGAAAAGAGCCTCCGATGTCACCTTGTTGACTTCCTTGTCGAGCCTCATTATCTCCCTTGGACTAAAAGACAGAGCTTCAAGAAGATGAAGGAAGGGAGGCAGATTAATGGCGGAGAGATCTTCTCCCCGCCCAGTGAATTTGGATGGGATGGGGAAAACCCTAAATTGGGTTGGGGAGGAAGGAGGAAGAAGAGTTGGGTAGGGTTGGGTTATGAGTTGGGTTGGGTTGGTTTTAATGAGGTGGCGGGTTATAATGACGTGGCGGGTCGGGTTTTATTTTTGTTGGTTTATATCCGGCTGATTAGGCAATTCTGTTTGCCACATCAGCACTTAACGGACTTCATTAACGGAGTTGGACGGAGACGAACGGCGAGTGACTAAATGCGTCTAGTTTTAGTAATTGTAGTGACCAAATTTGATATTAACTTTTTCTAGTGACTAAACATGTCCCGATTTTGTAATCTCAGTGACCAAATGTGTCTTTAACCCCTTATATTTATGACAGTGGTATGATGTTGCATGATAATGGGATGATCTAATACGGCGACGAGGTTATTCTAAGGGTTATACATGTGATCCCTTCCATTCCCAACCTCAGAGTTTCACTACCAATAATTTTTCAATTTTTTTATGAATTGGTTGATTCTTGCATTTCATCAAAGGAACAAAACTTGCTAGCAACAAGCTATGCCAACTGAGCACATCATACCTATAGACAAGGGAGTACAACCTACTGCGCTATCTCAACTAACAAAAAACAGGAGGTATCAACTATAAACCTTTGTAATTAGAAAAACTTCTCAACTATCACTGGATCAAGAAATAGTCTGAGCTCACATTAACCAACAGGATCAGTTCATTCATATCCAACATTTGTCCCCCAAAATTTACCTTACATCTTACTCGCCAAATGGTAGCAATCAAGGCCTGCCAAATCACTTCCCCCCTTGAGAGATAGTAGTTTTCTTGTTGAAGTTCGAGGATGCCCATTTAAGTTCTTCAACCCATTGATCCCCAGGGAAACGACCTGTGTAATTACCAAACAAAGCCACAAACAATTGTCTGTACACATGGCACTCAGCAAAAACATGAGACCTCGTCTCCATGGTGCAAGAACAGAAGGTGCAACCCTGACCACCCACCCCCATCCCTGTGTTTTATCACCTGTTACTATATAATCATTCACGATAATCCAAACTAGGAATTGATTTCTGGGAATACATGTTCCTTTCCAAACCAGAGAGCTCCAAGAAACATGACTTCTCTTTGGCATGACTTCCTCCCAAACTTTCTTTATGCTGAATTTCTCCATTTGAACCCCTTTCCAATAAATACCATCAGCATTCACAGAGATCCAGGGTCTCATCTTGTCTCTACACTTTAACAACTTTAGCCATAGTCAGGAACCTGCCTTAGCAGTTACAGCCCAGAAATCCATCCTCTTGATTCTATATTCCCAAATCCAAGCAACCCAGAGAGATCCTTGTTTCAGTAGAATAGACCAATTGTGTCTCATCACACAAGCAAAGTTCCATGAAGCCATGTCCCTAAGTCCCAGACCACCCTATGTTTTTGGATAAGTGATTCTAGACTAGGCCACCACTGCCTTTTTCCTATCCCCGTCTCCTACCCCCCAAAGGAAATCACTACACAGTTTTTCAATAGTTCTAATGACAGCCTTAGGGAGGATAAAGATAGATATACAAAACTGTGTAGGCTATACAAAATAGACATAACCAGCTGGAACTTACCAGCATAAGACAAGGACTTGGACTTCCAGCTAGAAATTTGTCTAGTAACTCTTTCAATAAAGGGCATACAGGCTTTTGTAGTTCCAGAGTTAGACCCATCAGGGAAGAGTAAAAGATCATCAGTAAACATAAGATGAGTTAGCCATAGCCTCTTGCACATAGGATGAAATGGCATAGCATTCTGCTGTACAGCTTCATTCATAAGGCAAGAAAATATTTCCATAGCCACTGCAAACAAGTAAGGAGAGAGAAGATCCCCCTGTCTCAACCCCTTTTTTGGCAGAAAAGTAGCCTACTGAACCTCCATTGAAACCAATGCTCAACTTAGGAGTAGTCACACACATTCTCAACCAGTTTAAGAACCTAGTAGGGAATCCCATAGCTTGCAACACATTGAACAGGAAGCCCCAGTCCACTGAGTCAAATGCCTTCATCAAATCCACCTTGATTAATGATCTAGGAGATATGTTCTTTCTACCATATTTCTGGACCAATTCATGTGCCAACAAAATGTTTTCACCAATAACTCTACCCTTAACAAAAACTGTCTGGGATTCACTAATAATACTAGGCATAACAGAACTTAGCCTTGTTGCTAGTATTTTAGCCATACACTTATTGAGAATGTTGCAGCAGGATATTGGTATAAAGAATTTCATTTCCTCAGGGTTCTGAACTTTGAGAATAAGTGCTAAGAGGGTGGAATTAATGTTGACAGGTATTTGAGACGCTTGAAATCAAAAGAGTATAACATTAGTTACCTCCACTCCAATTATACTCCAAGTAGCCTGAAAAAAACATGCAGGGAAACCATCTGGACCAGAGGCCTTCTCGCCATTAAAACCAAACAATGTGGATCGGCCTTCCTCAGCAGTAACAGGATTACATAATCCCTCAGCTTGATCAGGAGGTAACGTTTTCATCAAGATTCTTCGTAACTGGTCAACTTCAGGGACAACCACTTCTTGATCCTTCTCACCCAGCAACTTCCTATAGAAACACTCAACTATTTTGGACATTCCATCTGTATCAGTAACCCTTGTACCAGTATCATCCAACAAGGATCTTATCATGTTCCTCTTCTGCCTGCTTTTGACAGACTTGTGAAAATAAGGAGTGTTGGAGTCACCTTCTTTAAGCCAGACTTCCCTAGATTTCTGACAGAAAAAAGATTCCTCAGCTTCTCTTAACTCTTTGGCTTCTTTTTCAAGTCTAATCTCTACTGCAAAAGTAGAGGGAGAATGGTATTTTAAGGCCTCAGTCTGGGCTTCCATCAGTTCTCCTGATTTTAATCTAACCCTTTCACTCATATCATAGTACACATTCTTGTTGAGCTTTTTTAGTAAGCCTTTTAATATCTTCAGCTTCTTACAGATACAAACAAGAGGAGAACCCTCCACTTTCGACTTCCAGGCTTCCTCAACCAGTTCCAGATGCTTAATCCAGAACTTGAAAAACTTGAAGAGCTTTGGTAGAGACTTTACTGAGCTATCAGTATTAAGAAAAATGGGGCAGTGGTCAGAAACTGAAGGGTCCAACATATCCACAGTACTAGAACCTAACCCCTCAAGCCATTTTGTATTAACAAACACCCGATCCAATCTCCTGGCTATGGGGTTACCCAACTGCTTGTTTATCCACGTGAACTATGGGTCAGAAGATTTATGCTCTTCCAGGTCACAATCAAATTGCCAACACCTAAAATCAGCCATCCTGAAAACTGGGGTGCATTAGATGCCTCACTCACATCACCTATTTCATTGAAATCCCCCAAGACTGCCCATGGTGCAGTACTAACTTGGAATTGTTTCAAGTCACTGTAAAGGACTATTCTGTCCAACTCTTCATTAGAAGCATACACCACCGAGAGAAAGAAAGACACCCCTGAAGCTACCATTAAGTGACTGAAATGATCCATCTTATGGAGAACATTGAGCTTAACATCAGACTTCCAGATCAACCATAACTTGCCCAAACCCGCAGGATTACTAGACACTTTGAACTCCCAACCAGGGAACCATTTATGAATCATATCATCAACCTTGGCAGCTCTGACTCTAGGCTCTAATATAACTAGTATATCTATACTGTATCTACTAACTAGCTGTTGCACAACTTTATTTTTATCCGGGTCATTAAATCCCCGGATATTCCAAACTAGTATTTTCATCGTTTCTTACCCCCCCTACGAGGACCAGCAGGCATAGCAATTCGAGGTGTATTAGGCTTCCTCTTAGAACTTCCAACAGTTATCCAAGGATTAGGTTCCATCTCCTCTTCTGCTACAGGTGTCTGAGGAACTACCCTCCCAGAAACTAGTGAGGTAGTGCCAGCAGGCATTTGCGTCAGTTGATTTGAACTCCCAGCCTGAGCTGATGATCCAACAACAACATCATCAAACCTAGCAGCAGCACTCCCATTTGATGAAGGAGTAGGAGCACCCTGTCCTGAAAAAAGAGACTGATCTGCAACTTCCTTCCCTTTGTAAATCAAATCACCATTGACCACAATCTCACTTCCACAGTAGCAATCTCAGACTGCATGCCATCAAATGAAGCATCTTGAAAAACTAAAGCTATAGAACTAGCCTCAGGAGCCTTTGCTGTCCCTTTGACTACCCATCTTTTATTACTCAAGGCATTAGCTGAACAATCATGACCATAGACTTGGCAATCCGGGCAAACTCTAGGCAGATTCAGATAGTCAACATCCACTTCAAAAAATGGATCATCATCAGGATAGAGCCGAACCTTTGAAGGGAAACCACACTCCGCTGTTAGATCCACACAAACCTTAGCAAATCCCAGCTACCCACCCACCCTGGTCGTTTTATCCATCCAGAGAGGCGGCCCAAGCGTGCTGGCGACCCACGCCAAACCTTCCAGCAAGTGATACTCCAGCGGTAAACCTCTGATAGTCACCCAGATGGGTAGAGACTCCACAAGCGGGGTCACTGGTTGAATACCCGGGACCCATTTTCTAAGATAGAGCTGATTTCCCTGAAAGTGCCACGGACCAGAACGAAAGACCCACTGACTTGTAGACGAAGATGGGAACTGGAAAACGAACAATCGATCACCAAAACGCGAAACACGAACCAATCTCAATCCCTAAATAATTTCGGTATCCCAATCTCAATCCCTAAATATTTCAGTATCCCAATCGGTATTTCGGTCTCCCAATCGTTATTATCGAATACGAAATT